CCCCACAGACCCTCCACGTAGACCCGTGCCTGGTGGTATGACTGTAGTACCATCCTATCTTATTGTCTCCTCCCCCCCACAGACCCTCCACGTAGACCCGTGCCTGGTGGTGTGACTGTAGTACCATCCTATCATATTGTTTCCTCGTATGTTCTCCTAGACCCTCCACGTAGACCCGTGCCTGGTACTGTGTGACTGTATTACCATCCTATCATATTGTTTCCTCGTATGTTCTCTCCCCATCAACGGCATCCTCCCCATCGATGAGCTCCGAGACCACGTGCCTCCCGTCAGCCTCGTATCCTTTGGGGGATTTTTTATAACTTGTTTGTACGAGTCTCTCAATTGAGTCAATAGTGCCGTAAAACGCTTACTCAATGAATCAATCAATCTATCTATTGTTCTTCATGTCTTAACCCTATCCGTACGTCGTGTTTTACTATCGTATCCTTCTTGGGATTAGTTTTACTTATTTGTACGAGTCTCTCAATTGAGTCAATAGTGCCGTAAAAACCCTACTCAATCAAATATAAAAAAATCATAGGAGTCTTATCGTTCTTCTTGTGTTAATGGGTAGTTTGAGATGCTAGTTGTTGGTCAGACTTTTCTGTGTGGGTGGTTGGCGGGTGCTCTGGTGTGGTTTGCATCTTATTTCCTATCAAACGTCTATCGTCTTTATCTCCACTCCTTCGGCACTTATATGACCTTATTGTGTTGCAAGAGGGTTGTTTTTTTTCCTTCCTGGCTGTTGTTGGCCTTGACTGGCACCAGGTTTGTGACTACATCCCTCGGCAGGTTCTGGAGGCGACGTACAGCATCATGATCCCCCGGCCGTCAGTGGACGACGACGCCAGCCGGCCACCCACAGCCGAGGAGCTGCTCATGTCGTACGGAGGTCAGTGGAACTCTCGTGTGTATGTGTGTGTACGCGTGGTGAAACACCAAACCAATGTGCCAGGATCTGGATAATAAAGATGTATCTTGTCTTATCTTATACGTAGCTGCCGACAATCAGTCTGGTAGAAAATCACGGGTTCGTACCGGTCTTGGGAAAACTGGAAAACTCTTTTGGAATTAAAAAAATTTGGGGGGGGGGGGAATTTTGGGAAATTAGCAGAATTCTTGGAAAAATAAATTTTTAACTATATTCTATTGTAAAAATATTTCCTCCAAGTTTAAAAAAGGCCTCAACTTTACGCATTCTGAGCAAAGCAGTGACAAAATGTCTGGTCACGGGGGCTTATTCAGGCTGCTATACAAAAATTCTCTCATCCTCTTCATATAAAACCAGCCGGCATGCGTAGCGGACAAGACCATTTTTTCTTCCGAAATGACACGTTTTTTGTCTTGGAAAAAGAAATCTGGTCTTAAAAACTCTTGGAAATGTCTTGGAAAAAAAAATCTCCTGCTCAGTATGAAACCTGGAAAATATGTACGTTATACATCTGTTGTCTTTATCTCCCCTCCTTTTTTGTGTTTGTTACTCTCTTGTAACACCTCTAATCTTCAGCGCTTATATGATCTTATTGTTTCAAATGCCGTAAAACTCTTACGAAAAAAAACCTAAACAAAACTGGTACAGCCACAACCAACACGTAATTCTGTGATTGTGATGTCGTTGTTTCTCCTCCCCCCAGCCATGCGAGGGTTCATGACCCCACGAGGTGTGGCCGACGCCCCCCGGGCCGCCCGCTACATTCTCAAAGACTTTGTCAAGGTAGGTCACTCGTTGTGCTGTGTCAGAATGCTCACAGAGGTTTGCTCTAGAATAATAATAATAATTACAATAATAATAATAATAACAATGACAATAATAATAGTAATAGAAATAATAACAATAATAAAAATTATA